ATTCGTCACATTTTTTTCAACTGATTACTTTCCGTATCCAAATATGACCGTTAAAATTGCTATTAGTCACTGCATCTCTCCACTTAATCCTCGGCTATCATCTATTCCCTTCCCGAACCCGTCATTCAATTTGAGCGATTCCACAATAAACTGATCAAATAAAATCTACAAATACGAATAATCTCTCTCATGGAATAATTCATAAGTCAAACAGTGAAACAGGAAACACCACAATAAGCTGTGCACATAAAATAAAATACATCACCGTTGAATTTTTAACGAAGCAATAAGAAATGAATAATTTTAAAAAACTGAACGAATGACTGAAGAACAAATAAATAAATGAAAAAACAGCAAATGTCTAATGACTTACCACCAGTAACTGAAGAAGATGATCGCCGGCAGGGAGATGGCCAACTGTAAGTACTGATAACTACGAATGAAGTATGCCAAAGTGCCGAGTATCACTTGACCAAACGCAAAAAATGCACCCGATATTACACCAGCTAATTTCCGTTTCGACGGTCCCACCAATTCCATACCTCAAATAATACAATACAAAAAACAATCGGGAAGAAACTTCATTTCTAATTCAATGTCACTGCTCAAATTAAGTCATTCTCTAATTCAAACAACAAAAAAACCCAATTCAGAGTGAATATATTGACTATTCCAATGTTTCGCACTAAATTTACATCAGAAAGCAGAGGTAACGTGAAGACATTGCGTTGGAATGCAATCAACTCAAAGATATTAATTCAAGAAATATTCAATCAGCACTCACCAATCACAACTGCAATCACAAAAATGCCCGGATGTGTGAATCCGACCACTCCACGAAGAATACAGAAAGAGGGCCAATTCGGCACTAGCGCCATCAGCACACCAGCTGTCAACTGAAGCACAATGGCCAAAAAGAACACGTTTTTACGACCCCAACTGAAATTGTGAAAATCATTCAATTGCTTCTCGTGAACCAGAGAGCGAATCCTCGTTCAAAATTCGCACTAAGTAATATCAATCAGCCCGAATGTGGCATTCTAAAACCGCGAAATGCTACTAGAAACGTACCTATCACCAAGATAACCGAATATTAATGAACCAGCCATTTGTCCCACATAATAGGAAGACTGAATAACCGCCTTCAGGACGGATCGCTCGCAAACGATTTCCCACTGAAAACAAAAAAGTCAGAGACTCAACTTCTCGGCACGCTTTTCGTTCACTGATGAACAACACGTTAACACAACATTCTAAACTTTAATCTCGATTCCCATCTTTCTTATTTATCCATTGCCTTTTTTATCATTACTGATCGGTCAAAACCTTTCCAAGAGCTCTCAGAATATTCATATCAACTTGGTTATCGATGCATCAGTTTCGTTAATCTACGTGGATTCAACGAAATTGAGAGTAAATAATAAACAAAAAGAAAAGTTCAGGTACAATTGCCCTAAGATTAAAAAAAAAACCGTTATGACTCGAAATTCACGAGATTCATTGTCAATCGGGTATTCTTTTCGTTGCATCACATTACTCGTTATATTGTACCCATAATACAAACACTATTCTTCAACATAAATCCTAAGAAATATAAAAAAAATTTACAACAACAAGCACTAACCCTATTGACGGCTGAATTTTTGACACCGCTGAAATCGAAGACGTAACCGTACGGGCACGTGTGCTCATCACCCAATCGACATTCCTCATAAAAGCACTGCTTACTGTCATCTGTACAGTTCATTCCATGTAGCAAAGGACTTGTAGTCCAATACGAGGCGTTTGCTGGCTCGTCTTTGAGACGACATCTGCAGTTTGGCGACAAAAAGTGTGAAAAACCAAAAAATTCTGATGGAGAACATAATAATCCCTGAAGATGGCTGGCCATCAAGTTTAACGTTATTGGACAGAATATAATACTTATCAAGCGAGTTTGATTCGCTCAAACTAACAGTGGTACTGTACAAAGAAAAAATCTGCTTCAGTGGACATGGATGAATCCAATAATTATTATCGTGGTCTAATAATTACCATCATCTAATAATTATTATCTAGGTCATATGTAACAAACGACAAATTGTAAATATAAAACAGAATACGCGAAAACTAAATGATGAAATCGTCAAAAGGGGAAAACGAAAAGCAAACAAACCTGTGTGGCAAATGAGCAGCCGTGAATGTCCATGACAGTGCATGCATAGCGGCAAAAATTGTAGGAAGACATACCAAAAGGAACTGTGTCTTTTGATACCGGCCAAATTCACCCAAATACGAGAAAAGAAGCTGATCGAACTTCATCCTTAAACAAATCTCGATTTTCTAAATAAAAAAACTCTTTCAGCTCTTCTTCCATCACAACAGAAATTCTACAAAAACTATCCGAAAACCTACGCACACCAGATGAATCCTCATTTCTGAAAACATCCGAATGAAATAATTCAAAATTAAAATTTCTATAAAAAAGCCATCGAACCACTTAAATGAAACCAAAAATTTAAAGAAAAACCTCACAAACTCGCGAGGCAATGCATCAAACAGTTATTGATAGTCTTACTGATTTATCGAAGCCATTGTTTCGTTCCAGCTGATTATCTCCGTTCGCAGAAATAAACACAAAACCGAAAGCAACTACCCGATACAAATCTACTCGACTAACAATTACTGTTTAATTGCTGCTTTACTTATAACTTAACCAATTTTCACGATTTCGTTTTATGCTAATTACAAAAAAAAGCTCAATAACACATAACATGCAAAAATCATAAATGCTATTGATTGCTCCTGGTAAAACTGTTGAGAACGCAATTGTACTCAAAAAATAAAACATTTGGCATTCTATGAACTGTGAACATGTTAACAATGATGCGACCAAAAAAAGACACGTGAATCTAAACGAAAAGTTTTCGCACTACTTCATAATCAGCGGCCTGAAAAGATTCTCATAATGAGAGCTAATCTTGGCCTGAAAATCCACGTCTACGGACCAAATACAGATCGATTAGGCGAGTCAGAGCTTTGCAAGATTCGCAATGTTTTCAAAAGCATAATCGAAACCAAAATACTGAAAAGCAACCCACCAACATCTATGTTGTTGCTCAGATGAACAGCGCAAAAGAGACACCTTTTTGGCGAAGGAAACATTATTCGGAAAATATCTCAAAAAGTTTCTCACTGNCCGGAATCGAACCAATATAATAATAAGTTTAAATAAGTTATCAGTCTTGATTCGCATCATTTACAGCTACATATTCAATGCTAAACTATGAGAAATGTGAATTTGTCGCACTGTAATCAACTTACAAATTTTTGCTGACCGTTGGTGAGAGGAAAGCTTATCGGTAGCAAGGGAGTGAGTGTGCTGAGCCGTGTTCAACAATTCGATGGTTAAAGATCTATGAACTGTAATGCTTGGTATGAGTACAGAGAGAGGATGCGCTACAATTGTCACTCCTTGTGAGGACTGCGAGAGAATCATTATCGATGACAGTGTGCGCGTCAAACGATGGTAAAATGCAGAATCTTCTTCTGTAATAACTAATAATTTCGCATCATTTTATCGAAGGATGCGTTCCACAGAATCCTGAGCAAAGTAATCTGTGGGACGCACCCATGTTTCCGAGTAAATAATTTCATGCTGAATCGTTCCATAAAGCACATTTTGTGATTTGAAGACTCTTTCTCAATGCTCATCTAGGTTCGAGGGCAGCTCTTCAGTTGAAACAAACGAATTTTCGAAGATTGTTTGCAACTTTTAAATTTATTTGATTAGACACCANCAATCTGTTATGAGTCGGCCATTCCTCTGATTGTGAGTACGACATTGAAATAATTTTATTAATGAACAAGAACAAATAGTGAATAATTCTAAAAATAAATAATTTCAGAACAAATAATAAAAAATTTTGGTGTATAAGGCAACGAAAGAATAGAGGCCGTCTCAACTGAAAACAATCTATTCAAAAAAAAAAAAATTGCGCCCTCTATAAATGTGAAGTTCAAATGTCATCAGCACTAAGAAAACAAATGTTACTGGAATTATAACTGAAGGAAACTGAAAAAAGCATGGAATTATCAGTATAGAAAAGAGTGTTTTTTGAGAGTGAATGGTGTCAGTTTTTATCTGAATCATTTGCTGAATCATATTTGCCATTTTCTTTAACAGACACAACAGATGGTTGAAGACAAAACTGGTTTAATACGAAATACTAAATGAATTGATGCTTAACCATATGTCGTCAGTTTAAACTGCAATTGTTGAGCGTCAACGAAATTGATGCTTAAACGAAGAAAGCACTCTGAGAACATTTCGACGAGAGACGTTCTATTGTTGAAATGATAATAGACAAGTCGGAACGCCATTCCTCATCGGAGCTTTCGTTCATCATTCTTATCAGTTGAAATGTATGTCAACATCACTCTAACGTTTTCATTCTCTTCCACTTCATTGCGAACTTACAAAGGAAACAAAATCGACGACTGGATTGGTTCCCTCATCAGAGACTAGCACCACTTGAACTGTCATATTATATGTGCGTAAATATGTACATGTAATTTAGCTCACAGAAATTTGCTAACAATAAGATCTGCTGCAGAAGTGAGCATAAACTTTCAACACTCCAAGGTAGAGATCACTATTAGATTAGACGCATAGATCGCGATTGAGTTTGTCTTCTTTCAGATGCACGCCTCAAATTTTTTTACAGTACGAAGGGTGGGAATTAATTTCAGATATGCTGAGATTTCAGTTCTATGGCTTCAAATTTTGTTCATTTTACACAGATTTCCGCAAAATACTCCTAACACTATGGTCATAACTAAGAATAGAGCCGATGATCAGTTAGCACTCACCTCAACATTCAAATGTTGTTTAAGTTGTTGAATAAACTGCAAGCAAAACTCAGCGAAAGTTAACTCTTTTCGAAACTGAATAATATTATCAGCATCGCAGAAGTGACGATCGATGTG